ACTCTTTCACCAAGAACATGAGATATTACAACTTCCACTTGAGACAAAACAGGTGTTTCCAAATACATGCAACTGAAACACTGAAACACAGACACCAAAAAATGTCCCAGGTTAAACCAAGACTCTCTCCGTTTCAAGATTTCAGTAATACCGTTTCCATTCCCTCTGCAAGACAGCCTTTCAGGTTGCATACATCATTCCATACTATTTGACACTCTTACAGGTGTCTGCTTTGCATTCCTCTTTCAGCATGGCCCTGCTCAGCTTCAGTGAGACATAGAACAACAGCTTGAGTACTCCCATTTTTCTTTTTAATTTTGATAGGTTCTACTGCATGATAGGCTTACCTAAGCCCAGTTAAACAGAACTTACATGCTACTTGTTTGCATTCCCTATGTCTCATATTCACACATGCAAGTTTACTTACATACTGCTACAGAAATACGTACTTGGAAAAGCATGTGATAAAAGGGAACATTCGGCCAGTGTGGGAAGTACAGTTCTTCAGGATATGCCGTCCCTGTCAGTATTCCATTACTGCCCTCCTTTCCCTTTGCTTCATGGTATAATTGCTCAGCATATGTGCATTCAGAGTGTCTGAAGTAGAAAAGAATTGGAATGGTGGTTTACTTCATGCTGCTGTTCGTATTCTCAGCCTGTGTGGGTCCTGTGCAGACTGGGTGTTACTGGTAAAGAAATTCCTAGTCACAATAGAATATGCATGGTTAGAACTCTGGGAACTCTGTGAGAGGCAATTCTTTGTTTTACTCTGAAGCAGTTATCTGTTAAGGGTTGGCATGTCTGATACCATCCTCACTTGTTCAGAAATCTTTTCTTGTTCGGAACTATGTTAGCTTTGAAATTAACCGAAAAGGAATTTGGCAAGGGATGATATAAAATCAGGTTCCAGAGAATTTAAAACAATTACCTAGAATTCATTTCAAAACTTGTTTTAACATTTTAGGCCTTTCAATACATCAATTCCTTTGAATTTGTCATAGGAGCACTCTATGTGCTTTCCATCCTTGTCATATTAACCTGCAGAACTCCCTGCTATAAGATATGACTGAGGACAAGAGCTTAATGAGACTGAAAAACAAACAAAAAAAAATTATAAACTTAGACTTGTGTTGCTTTTTCTTTTTTAAAGAAAAAATACTGCTTCACTATTTAAGATGGCCTCTAATGGTGTCAGAAAGCAAATCTCCTTGAGGTGGGTTATTTTGCCCACTGCAGAGGTTTCTTGCAGTCACCACTGAAGCATCTAGTAATGGACACTGTCAAAAACAAGATCCGGAGTTAGGAGAACTATTAATTTGACTCAACATAGAAACACCTATGTTTTCTTGGAAATATTGGTCAAGTTTTCACTTAATCAGTTACCCCAATTTTCATGTTTCTAGGCACTGGAATACGCTAAGAAGATTCCTAGACCAAAGACTTTCACGGCAAGACAATCAGGCGAAGAGGTGAAAGAGGAAAGAGTTCTGCCACAGACTTTAAATGGAGACAGTTTACCTCAAATCGCATCCTTGGAAACTTTGCAAAATAGACACGAGAAGGAGAAGCAAGTTGTAGCGGCTTTCAGAACCCTTCATATCTTATAAGTATTTTGAAATTATTAGGGATATCTGCAATGCAAAAATGTCTGAACTGTTTAATTATGAGCTGTGACCATCACATACTGATTTACCATTCCATTGAAATATAAATTGGCTTAAGTTTAATCATTGTTAAATTTTAGAATCTGTTCTACTATACCTAATTTTTAAAAATGTAAACAGTTGCATATGTAGCGTTTTAAATATGGTAATCTCTGTTGTTGTTGTTCTTTGAAATCAACTGATCTACCAGTTGCATCTTTCAGACTAATCAGTTGCCACAGCTGGATCATTTTTAGACATGTCAAACATATGGGCATATCTGCAAAACATTAAAAAGAAATATTACTTTTGTTTGATGATCTTAATATCAGCAATGTTTTCTCTTTGAAGTGCAGGGGAGACTTTGGCAGACTGTCCAGAAATAAAGCCAAAAATAATTCATTGCTGGTAAGAAAGAGAACAAAAATGTGCAACCAAACATAGCAGTTGGTAGCGATACAATACTGATTTTTCAAATGTTACTCTGTTAGTGAAGAGTTGTCACATCAAGACCAAAATTTTGAAGCTTCATCTGGGACAAGAAAATTCAAAACAAGTACTGGCTGATCAGGCAGACAATCTGTTATTAGCCAGAAGCAGTTGGAAAATATGTTTAGTAACTAAGGATAATTGAGAGCTACATGTTTGAGAGGAAACAGCTTTTAACAGATTAAACCTATAAAAATAGCAACAAACAGATGGGTTTCGTACGATGGTTCCATTTCTTTAACTTAGTAAATTATGAATTGAGTCAACATATGAAATGTGATTAGAACACACAGCAAGGGAATTTTGAAGAAAACACACTGAAATGTCTTAGCAAATAGGCTAGTTAAAAGGAAAAAAAAAAAAAACCAACCACCACCTTGTGATTATGTGTAATTGCTTTATCTAGTTTATTAGGTCCCCTTTTGTATGGGAGGAGAGAGAGGATTAGTCTTTGGGCAAAAAAAAGGGTTCGAGTCTTCTTGAAGGAGGCTAGCAATGGAAAGGTAAGGTGGGGAATAAAAGAGAGAATATCTTTGAAATGGCTTTCTCTTTTTCCAGATGCAGCTTTTGTTAAAGACAGAAATGTGTTAAGACTTAACAAGTTTCTGTGTTAACATTTCATTGGCTGCATGTCTCACAGGAAAGATAATTTTCCAGTAGGTGTACAGTGATGTCAAGGCATTGGAGGTATGACATATATTGCTGCAAAAGTCCTGTACCTTTCATTTTATAGAGTCCTGGGTGAGATTGACCTGATCCTACAGTCCTCAGGATGCCTCAGTCCTCCTGAAAGTGGATTAGTTGCTTAAATAAACCCTGCAGGATCTCCAGTCTGGCTCCCAACCTAATGTGGGAAAAACTGATCACCATACCACATCTGTCCATAATGGAAAAGGGACATGTTGCTTTCTTTAAAGCCCTCCTGACCCACCTGAGAGATAAGAAGCTCTCCACCCTGTTGGTTGCTTCCCCCCACACATGCTGAATTTAGACTGTTAGACTTCGCAGGCAGAACTTTGTGACATAGATAATCTTTGGGGAAAACCTGGTGGAAGAAGTGTCTTCCAACACGGGGAACGTGGGCCAGGTTGCAGGGGAAATGTTTTGCATATCTAAGTGCAGCAGTGGACATCGTCAAATGTCCACTGCAACTTGTGGAACAGGACCATCCTCTGCCTCAGCCTCCTTCCTCCTCGCCTTGGGGAACTGCATTTGCCCCCTCTTTGTAGAATGTGGATGCCTGTGGTATGACCCATCAAGCTAGGCTGGGTAAATGTTTCCATGCTCTGCCAGTTGCTGCTTTTCTACTTTTATTTTTAAACCAAATGGTAACACTTTGAAGCATTTCTGATTAGGGAACCTCAACTTGTTGTTTCTGCTTAAAAGTGATAATCCCCCCTTAATACAAACCTCAAGTACCTATTTTAATGAAACCTTCAGATGAATATCAAAGAGCTATTTACTCGTATCTAATATTTTAATTAGATTATATTCTCAATTTAACCCATTAAACCCCCTTTGATGATCTCCATGTTTAGTGTTTAGCCCCAGATGCTGGAGGTAATGAATATTGGACCTTTGATTTAATGAGAACTTCTGCCTTTCCAGCCTGACTCCCTTTGTATCCCCCTTTTTTATTTTCTGAGCTATAGAATTCAGTTAATTGAAGAAGTCTCTTACCACCACACATTAAGGAACCTAAATTAGCATCCCTTTTCTGATTAGAAAATGCAAGCAGACATTTTCTCTTTGATCTGAGGATTGAGTTGAAGTAGGCAACAGCCCCCTGAAAATGAGCTGATGGCCTTATTATTTGGCTGACATGCAGATGCGTCCATGTGGTGCAAAATGCTTAATGTCTTAATTGATCACCTTCCTCCCTATCTGTCATCCTACTACCTTTTAAAGCTCCCATAAATTAGGGTGATCCTTCTGGGTGGGCGGTGTGTATTGTTTGGGGTTTTTTTAATAAAACAATGAACTTTTAGGAAACATTTAAATACTAAACCCATGCTAAATTAGAAGCCATATATACTTATATGATGCTGCATCTGGTGGGAGGGGGGGATAGATTTAAACAAACAAAAAAAACCCCAACACCGATCATGATCATCTTGCAAACCATTTGGAAAGGACTGATTTGGTTTTGGTTTTTTTTTTTTTTTTCTCCCAGAAAAAGACATTATTTGCAGCATATGTGGAAAGAAAATCTTTTGATCTACCTTAATACTAATGCAAATTTTCCCTGCACCTAACAGATATGGTGGCACAAAAAGGGACCATACAAGTAAATGATGAGCACCCATCTGCTTAAAAGCAAAGGCCAAAACTTAATGTCTTTCAAATTAGGAAGGCACGGAATTTAAATAAGAAATAGGCCTTGAATTTTGCATTAAGTATTCAGGGAGAGATTGAGCTGGAGTAGAACCTGCCTGCCATAGTCCCGTGGCTCCAGCACAGCTATCACAGAGCACAGTGCTACTCACCGTGAGCACAGCCTGCCTTCACAGGGGCAGAAATGTATTTGTGTACACCACTCAACAGAAGTTCTCAACATTTACTTGGCAGGCCCTTTCTAGTGCCACCATTTCTTAATATTTTAGATTTAGGAAGTGTAGAAGCTGAGACCACCTTCAGTGGTCAAAGACCCGGGGTCAGTACTACTTAGGAGCAACGCTGCTGCAATAACATCACCATCGCGTTTCTTTCTAAGATAACTGAAGTCGGCTCCCCACCACCATCTCACAAAAGGTATGAACAGCTGGCTCATAGGCTGCTGACTCTGACAAAACCATATTGTTTTATCATTTAAAAACATTAAATAAGGCAGAGCCTAAAAGCCATGTCCCATCATTGCATCTCTAAAGACAAACTGTCAAAGGCGAGGATTGTAAACCAGACGAGATTATGTCTAACTCCTGCAGTCATTGAATACTTCAAATAGGCATGAACAAGCTAATGTCCAAACAGCCCACAAGCCAAGCATTTGATCATTATCATCTCCCGTTAGGGATCAATTCTATAGTAAATTATAATAGGACAAAGAATAGGCCTTTTTTTTTTTTTTTTTTAATTTTGCATGTCGCCCAAACCTAAGTGCTTTCCGCGTGAGAATAAGCAGGCATGTGAAGAAAGGACCGACTCTGGTGACTGCCTCCGTGGTGTGAGAAAGAGCTCTAGATGCACAAAATCACAGGGATAGGTAAAGGCGGTGAACCTCCACCGGTGACAGCTGGCAAGGGTGAGTTAAATCAGCCTTCCTTACAGAAGAGCCTGCTTTGAACAGAAGTGATACTGAGCCAAAAACCTGGATAGAGCAGATGCTAAAGAAGCATCCAGCAGCTCAGCAAGAGCTTTGCATAATCGTGAGTGCAAAGCGGGCAGCTGCAGGTAATACCGCAGGGCTAGTTTTCTGCGTGTCATAGGGGCACTTAAGGGTTTGTTCCAGCGGTCACAGCAAAGCCAATGAGATCCACAACACTGGACAATATTGAGTCTTTAGGAAAGCAAGTTGAGCGGTCTTGGCAATGGCTGAACAAAGTGAGTCACAGAATTCGGTCAGCTTGCCTTTCCTCCTGGCATTTCAGAAACCTCTGTCAGAGAGTTACCTCATTATCGTGAGTTAAAACCAACTTCTTCCTTGAAAGACTATCTGTACCCTAACGTAGAAAAGGCAACGCAGCTAGAAGTGTTTCACCTAAGCTTATTATGCTATAGAAACAAAATAAATCCAAGACAGAAATAAGCCACTTTTTCAGCCAAGTAAGACCATCTGAGCAGGAGTTTGCAATTAATTAAGATGATGCTGTTTGTTATTGCAACTAGAAGAGAGGAAGGACAGAGTCATCAGTTCAGGAGGCTACAACACTCAGTTCGCCATGCTGCAGTCAGCATCCTCTCTACGTTCACCTCCTCTGCTCCTCAGCATGGCCCACGCCTGCAGAAACTTCACTTCAGAAAACCAGTGAAAAAAATTGCACCGAGTCCATCAGCCAGCAGAGAGAAACAACAAGAGGAGATCGTAGAAAAAATTTTACATTGCGCACGCAATGCCTGGATCACTCTTTGGGCCTGGCCACAAGTTATTTCCTCTTTCAGCGAGCGACAGCCTGTGGTACTTTCAGGGCTGACACCACGCACATTTTTAATAGCAAGACTTTGCAAATAATTCGCTCTATAACTGCCCGTACAGCTGCATATCAGATCTGCTCTTATGTAGCTCTGGCCATAGAAGGAAAAAAACTTGGGTTGGAACTGCTTTCCAGTTCCATAACGGTTAAAATTGCTAAGGGCAGCAGACAGGAAAATGCTCAAAATCAAAACAGAAAGCAAAGCTTCATGGAAGGATTTTCTAGACAATTTTTTAATTTTCTTTAATAAAGACAACAACAAACATCAGCCACTTAGGTGTTAAAATAAATTAACGAGAAACAACTTCATTTAAAAAAAAAACCCACAGAAGGATTTTAATGAAA